TTATTTCTGAGTTTTCTGTCACTAGCACACCACCCCTCCCATATACACACACGCACATGCTCAGCTCCCTGAAAAACCAGGTTCAGCCCAGGGGCAGGGGCAGGGGCTGGGGCTGGGGGCAGAATCTCTTTCTCATGCACCCACCCATTTCTCAGCTCTCTTCCCTTCCCTTCCAGCCCCTCTTCTTCCCCAAGCCAATAGAAGCTTGATTGAGAATCAAGACAATCAAATCTTAAGACTGAGGCTGCTCCAAACACATTTTTCCAAATAGTTTTTCTATGTCGCGTCCTAGTCCTAGGCTTTTGAAATTCAAAAACTGAGAACTGACTCCTTTGTTCTCTGTATTTTGCTGTGTCATCTGTTCTCTGAGGCAATGAACATAGAATACCCTTGCTACTGCCAAAGTGGGGAGGGGCGGCTGGTGGGCACAGGGGGTGGGTATAACAGGAAGTGGGGGGAAATCAGTTATTATATCAAAATATTATTTCACAGCACTGATGTTTCTTTCACTTGTCTTTTTTCTTTGTTTATGGAGTCTTTTGTCATGCAGACATTTGTAATTTTTGTACATCAAAACCTGTCAATCTTTTTCTTTATAAATTCTAGGTTTTGTGTCTTACTTAGGAAAGCCTCCCAACACATAAATTGAAAATATATTCTCTGATATTTTCTTTAAATGCTTTAAAATCTTGTTCTTTACCTTATGCTTTTCAACCCATATTGAATTTTTTTTGTATAATATCAAGAAAAGAAGGGCTCCCCGCTTTTCTTTCTCTCTCCTCTCTCCCCCACCTTTTGAATAGACAGTCACGATTTTCCTAACATTATTTATTTAATAGTCATTTATTTCTCCACTGATTTAAAATTCCATTTTTTATTATGAACTATATTCTTATAGGTGCCCAAATCTTATTCTAAGTTCGGCATTCCAGAATATTCCAGACCTGAGAAAGGATGAGATGGGAATTGCATGTTTTTGCTTCAATTGGTTTCCATTCCTGTGTACACTGTATGAAAATCAATATGATCTGATGTTTAAAAATAATGTGTTTTCATGCACCACGGCCTCTAAATTCAAACAAGTTGCTTCATTTTGATCCACCCAAAATAAATCCAGTGAACTATTCCAATTCTGGAGAAAAGAAAATGGCTACATGGACTCTTAGGAGATTTTAAAAGATAATTTTGACTACATGTGATTTTGTATGTGACGAGACTTCATAGTATTCTTTTAACATCCTGATAGATTTTGAAATGTATTTGGCGATTAATCCATCTAGAGTTTCTGCCTATTGAGTCAATATTGGCAATTCATATTTTTAACAAATCTTCCATTTCATCTAGATTTTCAAAAGTACTGGCTTAACGTTGTACCTAGCTTTCTCCCAATATTTAAATTTTAATTTACATCTTTTTAAAATTTCTGATGTTGTTCATATAATATATAACCTTTCATCATACCAGCCTGAGTTTTACCTATTTTATTGGTCTTTTCAAATAACCAGATTTTTTTTATCGATCAAGTCTGAGTTTTACCTATTTTATTGGTCTTTTCAAATAACCAGATTTTTTTTATCGATCAAGTTTTCTGTTTTTGTTGTTTCTTTTCATCGTTTTTGTGGCTATTAATTACTCCTGTTGACTTTACTCTTCTTTTTCAAGTTTTCCTTGATAGCCAGCCTTGACCATTTGCTATACTTCTGGCCAATGAGAATGACTTTATTTAGACAGGGGTGAGGGCATTCGCTTTCTTGATAAGATGGGATGAACGAAGGGATGCTTCTTTTCACGTTCTCCTTCTTTCTGCTTGGGATATGGAGCAATGTTTGGAGAACCAACAGACGTCTTGAGAGAGAAGGCAAAGACAAGCAGAAGTGCAAAGCCATTGGGCCTGACACTGCTCCAGCACTGAGCCCATGCCAGGAGCTGCTCGCTTCTGGACTTCTTTTTTTTTTTTTTTGTGACCAGTAAGGAGATTGCAACCCTTGGCGTGGGGTCGCCTGCACTGTGCTCAGCCAGTGAGCGTACCGGCCATTCCTATATAGGATCCAAACCCGTGGCAGGAGCGTCGCTGCGCTCCCAACGCCGCACTCTCCCGAGTGCGCCACGGGGTCGGCCCTGGACTTCTTCTTAAGTGAAGAAAACAACAACAACGACCACTGGTTCTATTTTTTTGACATTAGATAGATAGGTAGATAGACAGACAGAAAGACAGACAGACAGACAGACAGATAGATAGATAATTTTGTTATTTGTCAGAATATTCCTAAGACGTTTATGTCTATTGAATGAGTTTCTAATGCTTCTCGTTCTCTAATAATGTCAGTTAAGCTTATAAATTCCCTCTGGCCACATTCCATATGACTTAATATATAATGTTTTCATTCTTTTATAAATTTTTGTAATTTTTATTTGGATTCCTCTTTAAACCAAGAGTTTTCTCTTTTCAAGAAGATACTTTCTTGTATTTCTTTAACACATAGAATTAAATGTATTTTTCTAAAAATAATTAAAGTTAGTCATTGTACTTTTCTTTCCTTAAGAACACAGGGTCTTAGTTTGTTTCTTCCTGGTTTCTCTACCCATTAAAACTCTTGGCCTCTCCCGTGTCAAGAGTTTGATATTCGAGTTTAAGATGTTAAGTATTATTTGCTTTTATAAAACCACAACATCAATAATTACTTAGATTGAACTATAAATAATGCTGGTTTCTTTCTACTCTACTGTTACTTTTACCTGTGTCATTTTGGTGCTTAGATTATTCTTCCTTGTCTCCTTGACTATTTTTCATAATAATCATCATGTTCAACGAAATTATCAGCATCCAGTGAAAGGGAGCTTCCCGCATATGTGAGGTATCTCTAGAATCCAACTTCTGTTTGGTATCTCCTGCCATCACTTTAGCTTGGGGTCTTCACACTTTTTGCCTAAACTCTTTTTTTGACCTCCTACCTGGTTTCTCTATCCCCATATGGGACTTAGCCTGAGCTAAAAAAAAAAAAAAAAGAAAGAAAATTTCCTTTGCCTTAAACCACTGAGATTCTAGAGTTCTTCTTTTGCATTAGTTAGTGTCACTTATCTTGATTAATTCAATAAGTATTATATTTACAACAGCTGATCGGTTTCCCACTTAAATTGCGAGCAACTTTAGGAAAAAAATTACTGATAGTTGTATCGATAGTACTTGAAAAGTGTCTGTCTCACAGTAGGTGCTAAGTAAGTACTGGACCAGTAACCCAATGAGTGAATGAACCTGGGGTGTCCTTCTGGATGGCAGGGATTCATTGTCACTGTATTTAGACAAGACACAGAGCCTAACCCAATGCCTGAACATAGCTGGAGCTCAATAAAGACTTGTTGATAGTTTGATTTATGCATGCACATCTTTAAGTCTATCTAACTTGACAGGAAAATGTAATAAAGTTCTATACTATATAGTTAAAGGAAATAAAAGAGTTCAGCACTTTTGCAACATGATCAATGTTCTTCTAAAGTGAGGACAACATCTGAAATCAGTAAATGCAGTGCAAGGGCTGAGGGTCAGACCTCAACAGCTCCCTTCTGGTCTGATTATACCGTGGCTCCTTGATCTTTCTGCTGCTCACTTTTTCCATCTGTAAGATGGGAAAGAAAAACAAAGCAAATAAAGCATACTGTAACAACCAACAAAACATGGAAATTCTAGTTGTATTTCTAGTACTTCCACATTCACGTGTGATTTTGATTGTAAATGGAGAACACATAACTGAAAGAGAGAGAGTGTGTGTTTGTGAGTGTGTGACGGTTCATTCAGCTTTTATTAAGAATCGCACCTCCTTGCCCCATGTAGGTGCGTTACTTCTGCAGTGGCATTTCTACAAACATTTCATTTCTAATAATATCAAACGCAGACATACTCGTTAAAGCTGCTTTTCCCCACAAAAGCCTTTGCAACTGCATGATGATATTTCTGCTTGGCTGTAGAAGGCATGACCACATGTGTGTGTGTGCACAGTGCTGTTAACAGTGACAGAAAGTGGTGTGGTGAGGACCCCAGAACCCCCTTCTTCCATGAACAAACTCCCATCTGAATGGGATGAATGTGGGGAATGACATTCCACCTGGAATCACTCCTTTCCCCCATATTTTAATAGCCAATTTTAACGTATTTTGACATTTTATCAAAGCTTTTCTGGATTAAATGGAAGGAAGATAAACGGAGGCCTAATTCATCTATTGAGTCAATAACCTGCTCTGAAAACAAAGAAAAACAAACAAAAAAAAGAAATCAAAGTTAGAGCCAACAAAAATCAAAATCGTTATGTAAAATCAATCTTTCATTTTCCTAAAAAAGGAATTCCTCCCACAAAAAAAATCATATTTCTCTACCTGATTGAAAAAATAATGCTCCTCTAGTAGGAGACCTAATATATTCTCTGAGCCTGCTGAGTACCAGTGGCTTTACCTGTGCGCTGTGTTTAATCGTGTGAGGTTTTCCTCACCCAGTGCACTAGTGCGGCATCTGAGGTGCAGCTGGCTCAAGGATCCTGTAAACAAAAGCCATGTGTTAGTGGGGACCTGAGGCAGAAGCCAGCTCTGTCTACCTCAATGGCCACACTGGTCGTTCTGCCTTGAGGCCTCTAATCTGTCTTGATAGAGACTTTCTCCTTCCATAAGGGGCTCTTTTTATTGATGCTTGTGTCACGGTCGCTACATTATCTGTGCGTTTTCTCTTTTGCTCTGTGTTAGGTAATGATGACTGATGCCTGAACAGTAGGAAAAGGGGAGGTAGTTAGGACAGACACCTGTGTCCCAACCCCACCTCTACTGCTGTCCCATCATTTTTGGCTAGGAGCTGCTCCCTTCACTGAAAGTCAGGAGATCCTCGTCCTATTTGTAGTCCTGTCACTTTTCTCAGATTACTTCCAGATCTAACATGCTATCATTTTCTGTGCCTCAGTCTCCATCCTAAAACAAACATGACAATAACAAGCACTGTTGAACAAATATTTTATGAGATTATAAAATAAAATATGCAAATATACTTTGAAAATAGAAGTAGAACTTAGATAAGTTCATGTGTTCTTATTGTGAATCTGCCCATAAATGGTGGCACAGAATTCTTCGTTTGCCAAGGACCTCAACCTGCATGTATTTGATTTCCCTACCATTTAGCCATGATATCACCCTGACCTAAAGCCCATGAAGGATGGTGGGAAGAACCTGCCCAGCAGACAAGAATGGCCACTATTAGTGAGACAAAGGCAGAGTACGTGGCTGGGTGGCTCCGAGCACTCGGGCATGATTCAGGCAACTGTCTCTCCTTCCTCTTCTGGGCATAAATCAAGGGCTCCAGCTTTCTAGGCTGCCAATTCAACACTTTTTATAAGCCCTTAATTCACTCAGAAATTAAAAATATATACATACCCCTAGCAGAAAGTACCATTATTCTTCAGCATGACACATGATTTGATTTTAAACCCTTATATGTCTCTTCTATATCCTACCTGGCTTAGAATTGATCGAATGTCTATGATGAATAGCTACTGCTGCCTAGGCTAGTCACCTCCCACGCACACTTTGTTGATGCCCTCCTTCAAGAATTTTATCCCCTTCACCCACGTAAATGTCATCTATGTAGCTTAGGGAAGGGGCAGCACATGGACAGGCCAGTATGACAAGAGCATCACACCACGTCATCCTGCTGCCAGATCTCCTGTCCCCTCTCTGGAAAAGCCATAGTCAGAACCACTAAGAGGCCAAGTTATTAGTCTTTGTTGGCAAACCCAGCCTTTCACATATGCACATCACGTTTGGGGTCCCAGGACCCTTCCGCTCTCACAGTTGACTCTTCTTTCATAACCTGTGCTTTATAAAGATGCTGAAACCCCTTCACTCAGAGCTTTCAGTGATGGACAACAGCCTGATCTGTCCGTCCCTTCCAGGTATGGTTTCATTTTCAAGAACTTAGAACTTCAGTTACAAACAGTACAATTTGGGGTAAATAAACAAGCCAGAGTAGATTTCTTGGGGAGAGGTGGCTCCACAAGCGGCCGTTCAATCAAACTTTGAACAAGGCATCCAGATGCATTCTGGAATAAAAGAAACAACACTGGACAAGGAGCTAGATGAGTTGATTCTACTCTAAGTTTTGCTTCATGAACCCAAGCACGGGGTTACCCTTCTCTGGACACCACGTTTCAGCGTACAGCGACAGCGTGGGATAGTGACAGAAGGCTTTGGGGCTCGGTTTATCTCAGAGTCTTCCCCCACATTCAGCTGGTGGAGTTCAGCATGTCTTTAGATAGTGTTAAGACAGTATGAGGCCAAATGACTGAGAAATATATACATCTCTCTCCACACCAGACATGAACGTGGAAAAAAGTATACAAAAGCAGCAAAACCACACGTTAGTGCCAAATAGGCTGAGTCATCGGCCCCAATGTGGGTCTGTTGCAGGCACCCCAAGGATCCTTCCTCCTTCCTTTAAGTCCAGCCCTGACTCCCACCATTGGACTATGCTCTGTTCAACCTCCTGGTGGGCAGCAAACTGCAAAGAAGAGGTTGCCNAAATGATTGAGAAATATATACATCTCTCTCCACACCAGACATGAACGTGGAAAAAAGAATACAGAAGCAGCAAAACGACACTTTAGTGCCAAATAGGCTGAGTCATCGGCCCCAATGTGGGTCTGTTGCAGGCACCCCAAGGATCCTTCCTCCTTCCTTTAAGTCCAGCCCTGACTCCCACCATTGGACTATGCTCTGTTCAACCTCCTGGTGGGCAGCAAACTGCAAAGAAGAGGTTGCCAGGGCCCTGCGTGACAGGGTTGCTCATGCGTGTGACCTGTAAGGAGCCGAGGAGCCAATGGGGTTCAACCGCTGTCCCACAATCTGCCCAGGCAGATGGGGAAAGCACTGGATGGGCAACTGTCCAAGCCCAGAGGGTGGGGGAGGCTTCTCTGAGGGAGCCACCTGATTGACGATGCATGCACACGCCACCTCGCTGACCTCCAGAAACAACACCTTCTCCTGCTTTCACTTTCTTGCTCAGAACCAACAGATGCAATGCTTCTCAAACTCAGTTCACTCCTCTTAGACATTCAAGACCCTCTACTTCAGGCTCATACTACATGAACTTTCAGTACTCTTGAACACACAGCCTCAAACCCACTGGAGTTGGATCGTGCTGATTTCCACGGAGTTTCATGTTCACCTCCAACCCTTTGCCATGCATTCTCCTCAATCTGAATGAACTCCTTCCTTCTTTATTCAAAGCTGAACAAGGCCCATGTCTCTCTAATAGCTCTTGCTAACCACACAAGCCTGCCCTGCTCTCTTCTCTTTGAATCCCAGTTTCACTTCAAGTGTAGCCAAGTGTGGAGAAAAGTAGGCTCTTGTGTGTTGATAAGGCCTGACCCACCACTACCTGGGCAACTGAGGGTAAGTTAGTTTACCTCCTTACTTGCAAATTAAGGATAATAATGTTCACCTTCCAGGGACACTATAAGGCTAAATAAAAAGACACCTACAGAATGCTCAGCCAGGAGATGTTCCTTAAATTATGGTTTACTCCACCTCCCCTAAGCACCCCCAGCTTTTAGAGGAGAAGGGATTTGCTTCATGGTGACTACAGCTATGACTTTAGTTTTAGTTCCAATTTGATAAAGATACTGGCTACTTGCGTAATAACTTCGTATAGCATACATTATACGAAGTTATACGACAAATGAACCAGGTATTGTTTTAACAATTCACGTGCTTCTAGCAGTTGTGAATTTTTATTCTTTCCTACTCAGTGTAAATAAGCATCTCTGTAACTATTGTCTGAAAGGAGGCAAAATCTTCTGCTGTTAATGTAATTTTTGGTACTAGTTAATACAATTGGCTGGGCCTAAGACTGAACACCAGATAAGTCACCTTCCAGGCAAAAAGTCAGCATCAACCAGAGCATTGTCCATGGAGCTGTCTTTGAACCTGCTTCAGGCTACTTGGCCTATAACTGCCTCCTCAATTTTGGTTCATAAATAGGCAGTAAAGTGGAGGACCATTTATTTTCTGATTATCCATACAACTGGATCAATTTGTTTCATATTAATCCCATGGATTTTCCCCAAATCCTTTCAGGGGCATTTGAGGTCATCA